TGGACATTGTTTGCCACGCTCTCTTAGGAACTGAAAATGGTCTTAATAGGCCCAGGACTCAGCTTTATCATTTTTACTTTGGGTACAGGTGACACTTGAGCTCACATAACTTTCACAGTCCTTCCTTAGTTTAAGCCACCAAAAGGAACACTGAACCAGATTGATTGTTTTTTGTACTCTGAAATTCCCTGCCAAGGGGTGATCATGACAGGTCTTAAGGACCAGGAGTCACTGGCTCTCTGGTACAAAAATTTTGTCCTGGAATAGGAAGAGTCCATCCTTTTCCTGTAGTGTCACCTCTTTAGGAAGTGACTCTTGCCCAGATGCTTGCTTGAAACAAATCATAACATCTGTTTGCAGAAGCAAAAAAAATTATGGATCGATAAGATGGTGTCAGGTGGGGATGCTACCTCTTCCCCATGGAACATGCGGGATGGTGCGTCCGCCTTGACATTCTATTACCCTGGGTGTAACGTGATATGGAACATGAGTCTTGAAAAGAATAGTGCCCACCTGGCTTGACAGGGGCATAGTTTCTAGGCTGACCAAAGATATTCCAGGATTTTAAGATCTGTGAAAATTAGGATTGGATGGGATGCACCTTCCAGTAAATACCACCATTCTTCGAGGGAGTGAGTTTCTTGGAAAAAAATGCCAAAGGACGAATAAAAGATTTTGGACCTTGTCGCAGTGACAGAATGGCTTCAACCGCATTATCAGAGGCTTCTTCTACCAGAGCATAAGGTAAGGCAGGATCAGAATGGCAAAGTATGTATGCAGATCTAAACAGAAGCTTCAGCTTGTCAAATGCACCTTGTGTAATGAGAAGGGTAATGGCATAATACATTTTCTGTAGAAATTGGTGAAGCCCATGAACCTTTGTAGGCCCCTCGTAGATCTAGTTTGGTATAGATCAGTAATTTTATTTAAGTCTCTGTAGTCCACACAGGGACGTAGCGTATGATCTTTTTCAATAAAAAATGTACCTGCTCCAGCAGATGATGTGGAAGGATGAAAGAATCTTTTCTCCAAGTTCTCGCTGACATAAGGCAAAGAGCTTCTAATTCCAGCTCAGATAGAGGAAACATTTGCCCAAACGGTATCTCGGCTCCTGGTAAGACTTCAATGGGGCACTCCCCTGCTGATTTTGAATGTTTGCCCACTCACAAAGAAATGATCAGTCTAAAAATCAAATGGTAGGTGTATTGGAGCACTGAGAGACAGAATAGCAACCAAAAATTCAAAAGAAATTCATGTCTAACAAATTATGCACTGATTTGCATGTTCATGAGGGAAATAAGTATTTGATTCCCTATCATTCAGCAGGATTTCTGGCTACTAGGTGTCTTTCATACAGGTAACATGCTGAGATTAGAAGCAGTCTCTTAAAGGGAGTGCTGCCAATTTAATTTTGTTACCTGTATAAAAGACAGCAGGAGATCAAATACTTATTTCCTTCACTGTATAAGCATAGAAGAACCTCCAATGATGATATTCGCTAAATGACGCATGAGTGGAAGGCACAGTGACAGAAGGCACAATGAATTTCTGGGTAATGCACTTTGGAAGCGCAAGATACATGCACCACTTCTTATGAAAAGTTATAGAGATAGGCACTTCATCGGGGGGACGTGAGGAGAACGTTTAGATGTTTATAAAAGGTTTGGCAGGTTTGGTAAAGGTTTTTTGACAATATACCAAACGTTTTATTTACTATGAGCAGGATTAGCTATGTGTTGGAAGAAGGAGCATTTAGTAAAACTTTAATGATGTAATAATAGTGGTTACAAAGTTGCATTAACGTGTCTTTTAAGTCTACCTAGAGTTCAGCTTTAACACATTATAATTAAATTATCTGTGGGAGTCTGAAGTAAACAAAAGGTTCATTTAAACATATTCAGAACGGAGAGAACACAGCCTGTTGCCTAAGACATGGAACCGCCTTAGGCTCAAAAAAGCACAATTGAAAAATGTTTACAGAAATTGACATCTGTCCAAACTTCCTCTGTGCTGCAGGCGTCCTGATCCAAGTATGTATCTCCACTCACAGCCATTCACTGTGGCATGTTTATAGAGATGGCTGATTGCAGTCAGCATGGTGATACACAATATCACGGCTGCTTAGATACTGGCAAGGGGAAACTGCACGAAAAAATGTTATGTCGCCAATTTTTCAGATACAAGTATGTTGTACACAGAAACAAAAGGTTAATAAAATCACTAATTGCTAGGATAAATGATGTTACAGATGAGGGAGAACTACAGACAAAACATCTAATAATGTGAAAAACTATTTATCTCAGTCTGGTTGTTTGTGGAAATGCTCCTTGGGGTTTACATAGATGGACTGCCTTTTGCCTTCGCTGATTTGAATGCTGCTCAAAAATACATACATACAGTACAAATTTAAGATGCAGCAAAAGCTGCATTTCATCTTTGTTGCCTGCAATGCAAATGCATCTCAATAGGACCTGTTGCAGCTAAACAACACAAAGAAATTAAATCCACATTTAACATTTTCATCCAGACTGGAGTTCAGCTTTAAAGAGCATATAATTATTTTTTCAGGAATGGTGTTACCATGGGTTATATGGCTATGCAGAGACTGTATATCTACAATGTGTGTGTGTGTGTGTGTGTGTGTGTGTGCATGTGTAGCGCTACCCCCACAGGGGCTGCTTGTTAATGCTTGTCCACAGTAGTTGTCCTGACCTTGCAAGCCTCCCGAAAGCTCTGACACTCTTGGTTCAGACATATTTCAACAGTATAGAATAATAATGCAAGAGACACAATCTTTAGAAACACCTCCATATTAGACTTGTTCAAAAGAGCAGGCTACACGAATAATATGTTTAGGATATACAACCCCAGTTAACGCATAAAACAGAATACTGGTAAAATAGGAATAAACAATTAGCAACGTTTAAAAGGTTATACAGTCATGAGTAGTAAGCTTCAATTATTTAACTGTAACACAAGCAGCAAAAGGGGGAAGAAAAGGCTTGTTTACTTATCAGCTCCCTCCATTCTTCTGGTGCATACAGAGAATTATGTAAATGTATACTCTGGCACAAATACATATAACTACCCTAAGTTGAATAACATAGGCCTTAGAAGAGAAAAAGTCCCTTTAACAAGAGATTGGGACTTTAGTCCTGTGATGTTTAATGTTATGCGGTTTTCTGCTAGCAGTGGTGGGGCCCATAAGCATTAGTGAATACTGGTAATTAAATGACGTTATACAGGTAAACCATGATACTGCTGAAAGCAAAGGTCTCCTGGTAACTGAGGTGTAAAGGTGTCTGCATGCAGTGCCTCTAGATGACAGAAAGAGGCTGGGCATCTGCCTGCTCACCAATCCTATTGATAGTATGGCCTCCTAGATACAAGAGTTCTTGCCCATACTCTTGGCTATTTTCAGGGATGTGCAGAGTCACTGCCTGACAGCCTGTCAGTGTAGCAAGCAGAGATGTCTGCGTGAAGACTGGACAGTGACAGTCCCGATGCAGAGACGTTGATGCGATCCCAGTGTGGCAATAAGTGTCACTGCTGTGCTTAACCTCCCTAACGGTATTCCCGAGTATAGATCGGGGTAAAATGTCTGTACCAAAAGCGGTAACCCCGAGCTACACTTGGGCTTACCATGCAGCGTTGCATAGGGAGTCCCTGCAGCACTTACCTTGTCCTTCGCTCCCGAGATGTGTCTCCTGCAGCGTCCCCAGCCATCTCCTCCAGCTGATGCCGGCATCTGGCTCCTGTGTGCCGGTCCCTGTGACGTCGGGACGTACGGGCGGGAAATTTGAAAATTTTTAAAAAATGTCATTTTTTTCAAAACGATTTTACATAGTAAAACATTGCTGTTTCAACCCATTTCACATACATTTTGTCCCTAGTGCTCTGTCCTGTCAACTGCCTGCATTTTGACTGTTCTTTCTGCCTGGAAACTTAGAAAAGTCCATGGCATCCAAAAAGCGTCCCTTTAGGTCAAAAGCGGTTTTAGAACAACTAGAGAACAGCGATAGTAAATCAGAACCACTTGCAGAATTGAGTGATAATGATTCGTGGTGAAATTCGTCATCAGACACTGAAACAGATTTTGCGACTTTGCTCAGCAATGTGCGAATTTGCCTCTGTATTTCAAATTTCAGTGTTTTTGGTTTGATTATATTATTTAATTAAATTTATTATTATTATTATATTATTATTTTTTATGATTATTTATTAAATTATAATTTATGATTTCGTGTTTCAAATTTTATCATACCCGGGATGTTTAATAGATTCTTGTTCGGACAGATTTCAGTGAGTTATTCCTAAATATCACAGCCTACAATGAAAAAAACTACATATTTCCATGCAAAATAATGGTACCGCTTTCAACACCAAAAATCTGAAATAATCATACCGCCAGGGAGGTTAACTGGTGTTCAGAGTCATGCAGTAGTAACCAGCAATCTATCTTTGGAGGAGATTGGCAGTCCCCCTGTGTTCAGTTCTGAATCCTGCACCAAGAGAGAGAGAGTCAGTCCCTTCCTGTAGAATATATTTGTTCTCCCAGCAACATTTCTGGTTCCCCAGCTCTCTGGTAGTTGTAGATCAATCAGCACTCAGAAATAGTGTGTATTGGCTATAGGACTACAGGTCTCAAGATCATCTGCCGTCAGAAGAACTGGATCCACTCTGCTAACAGGAAGTGATATAGCAGTCCCAGTACTGGGAATTAGGGGGAAAAGGATTAATCATAGTTTTTTCTGTATATGTCCCTGAAAGGCAGACCAAGGTAAATCATTTCAGAATTTTTTTCCACCTTTAACCGCCTCCCGCCCGCCAAGGAAATGATGGGCGCAAGGTGGTTCTCTCGTTCTGATGTCCTCCCACTCTAACCGCGTGTGCGCGCCCCCGGGGGCGCGCAGTGCAGCGATCAGTGGTACACTGTGTCCCTGGGACACAGCACATTACCGGTCAACGGAAAGAGCCGAAGATGTCGGCTCTGTCATGTGATCAGCTGTGTCCAATCACAGCTGATCGCATGTAAATAAGGAAATGCCGGTTATCGGCATTCCTCTGCTCACGAGCTATCACGCTGACAGCTCGTGAGGAGAGGAGAGACGGTAATCAGCATTGCTTAGAGGGGGCATGTACACTGATCATCAGGGCACTGATGATCAGTGTAGCCCCATCAGTGCCATCTGTCAGTGTCTATCAATGCCACCTGTCAGTGCCCATCAATGCCTCCTGTCAGTGCCCATCAGTGCGACATCAATGCCACATATCCACTGCCTTTCAGTGCCACCTATCAGTGCCAGTCAGTGCTGCCTGTCAATGCCACCTATCAGTGCCTGTCAGTGCCGCCTAACAGTGCCAGTCAGTGCCACCTAACAGTGCCAGTCAGTGCTGCCTATCAATGCCAGTCAGTGCTGCCTATCAGTGCCACCTATCAGTGCCATATATGAGTGCTTCCTTTCAGTGCCCATCAGTGATGCCTGTCAATACCCATCTGTAGCAAACTTGCTCACCAGAGATGGACGTGGAGTTCCCCTTTTTTATTAGAAGTATTCCTCAAACCTTTATTCCCTTCCTGAGAGGCACAGGGACAGATGTGTAAGTGTTAAAAGTTGCTGGTGGGCTGGAGCAGCAGGGGGCCCAGCGCTACAAAGCCCCCCATAGAGACAGCAGACTCTTTGTCCAATGGACCTTTGTGATTTCACACCTCCGGGAAGGATGTCAGAACCTTCTCAAGAGTTCAAGACATTCCCCAGAAGCACAAACAAGATAACATTTTTAACAGATCTGGTTTTCCCCTATGTTTCATATCATGGATTATGACAGATGTTGGTTCTAATTCAGAGTTCGCCCGACTGACCCCTCCCTAAACAGCGTATTGGTCAGTTACTCAGAGCCATTCCCCCTGCTGGGGGACTTTTAAAAACTCAGGCTAACAGGCCTAAAAAGTGAAGCTAAACACATCTCCCAATTTTAACATCGTAACAGCAGGAGATCAAAGACCCTTCGCTCTGCAACTTAGATCTGCTTACCTTAAGGCTTAACATGGCAAGTAACTTAACCTTTTAACTTCTCCCTGTTATCTCTGTGCTGTGCTATTTTTTTATATAAATATATATCTTAGTTACCGTATTTTTCGCTCCATAAGACGCACTTTTTTCCCCCCAAAAAAGGGGGGAAAATGTCAGTGCGTCTTATGGAGCGAATATAAAGCGGCCGGTCCGGTATTTCTGCCGCCACCATGTCAGAATACTGGGCCGGCCGCTCAGCTGTTCTCTCTCCTGCAGGGCCTTACCTGTTCCTCGCTCCAGCGCTGCACAGTCTTCCCGCGCTGGCTTCTGACAGCCGGGTGCCCACTGCACATGTGCTGCGCTTTGTGAATGATCCGGTGTCTTCTGGGACACATGACAGGTCCCAGAAAGCGCCGGGCCATTCACAAAGCGCAGCGCTCCTTGCACATGCGCAGTGGGCACCCGGCTGTCACAGAAGCCGGCCCGGGAAGAAGAGAGAAGGACAACTCCGCGGAAGTGGGAGCGGGTACCTGTCAAATTCAGGTACCCGCTCCCCCTCCCTCCCCAAAGGTCAGCAGTCTCTGGTCATTCCCTGCACTGTCTGCAGTCTCTGGTCATCCCCTGCACTGTCTGCAGTCTCTGGTCATTCCCTGCACTGTCTGCAGTCTCTGGTCATCCCCTGCACTGTGTCCCCTGCACTGTCTACAGTCTCTGGTCATCCCCTGCACTGTCTGCAGTCTCTGGTCATTCCCTGCACTGTCTGCAGTCTCTGGTCATGCCCTGCACTGTCTGCAGTCTCTGGTCATGCCCTGCACTGTCTACAGTCTCTGGTCATTCCCTGCACTGTGTCTGCAGTCTCTGGTCATCTCCTGCACTGTGTCCGCAGTCTCTGGTCATTCCCTGCACTGTGTCCGTAGTCTCTGGTCATCTCCTGTACTGTGTCCGCAGTCTCTGGTCATCCCCTGCACTGTGTCCGCAGTCTCTGGTCATCTCCTGTACTGTGTCCGCAGTCTCTGGTCATCTCCTGCACTGTGTTCGCAGTCTCTGGTCATCTCCTGCACTGTGTCCGCAGTCTCTGGTCATCTCCTGCACTGTGTCCGCAGTCTCTGGTCATCTCCTGCACTGTGTCCGCAGTCTCTGGTCATCTCCTGCACTGTGTCCGCAGTCTCTGGTCATCTCCTGCACTGTGTCCGCAGTCTCTGGTCATCTCCTGTATTGTGTACGCAGTCTCTGGTCATCCCCTGTACTGTGTCTGCAGTCCATTGGTTCAGAATATTTTTTTTCTTGTTTTCCTCCTCTAAAACCTAGGTGCGTCTTATGGTCAGGTGCGTCTTACGGAGCGAAAAATACGGTACATCTTTTTCTGTAAATATTTTATTGCACCTGTTTGACTCTTTTAGTAATAAATCTTTCTTTCTGAAAGTGTTAAACTGTTTCTAAAGCGCTTAATTGCAATTTACGAATCCCTGCCTTCTGAAGAGACGCTACTGTGTTTGTTTAATCCTCTGCTTAATTGGCCTGGAGTGACCGTATTGGACAGGCAACTTTTCAACCATTACAGTGTATATTTGATAAAGAGAGTTTCCCCTTTCTCTGTACAAAAAGTGGTGGTGGCAGTAGAGGGTTAGTTAACTAATTAACCCGACCCAGTAACAAGCGCATTCAGACTGCAGGCATCGATTGTAGTCCATCAGCTGGAAAATCGCTGTGTAGGGTGCAGCTGGGTGTGGCCTTGTTACGCACATCACATCGCGGTTTTAGATCGGCCGGTCCTTCGGTCACGAGTTTGGTGAGAAGGTCTGGGGTCTGACGCCGCAGGCGTGATGTATTGTTGGTCGCGGTCGTGCAATTGTCGTATGTTGAGGGTGGCGATCCGGCGACCGTGACACCATCCATACCACCTACCAGTGCCTCCTCCTCATCAGTGCCCATCAGTGCCGCCTAACAGTGCCTATCAGTGCAGCCTATCAGTGCCCATCACTGCAGCCTCATTAGTGCACATCAGTGAAGGAGAAAAATCACTTATTTACAACATTTTTATAACATAAACTAAGAAAAACATTTTTTTTTTTCAAAATTTTCAGTTGTTTTTGGTTTGTTTAGCAAAAAATAAAAAACCCAGAGGTGATTAAATACCACCAAAAGAAAGCTCTATCTGTCTCAAAAAAATAATAAAAATGTCATATGGGTACAGTGTTGTATGACCGCGCAACTGTCATTCAAAGTACTGAAAGCTGAAAATTGGCCTGGGCAGGAGGGGGGTGTAAGTGCCCTGTAGGCAAGTGGATAATGTGGCCTATAATCTCTGCAATTCAGTGAAAAGCAAACTGAAATCTTTAAAGGGAAAAAAAATAAAATTAAAACATTACAATAAGGTGGTTGCATAAATATGCACAACCATAAACTAATCCTTTGTTGAAGCAGCTTTTGATTTTATGACAGCATTCAGTCTTTTGGGGTAGGAGTCTATCAGCATGGCACGTCTTGCCTTGGAAATCTTTTACCACTCTTCCTTACAAAAGAGCTCCAAGTCTGCCAGATTGCGAACACATCTCCTGTGCACAGGCCTCTTTAGATCATCCCACAGTATAAGTTAAGGGTATATTATTTGGTTTGCATGAAAGTTATAGTGTCTACAAACTATGGTATATATACTGGAATTGTTATTTATTTTTTTCTGTACTAGTAATGGCGGTAATCCAGGACTTATAGTGGGACTGCGATAGTGTGGCAGGCACTCTGACACTAGTTGATGCTGGCTGGGTGGTACGCTAACTGACTGACATTGGCATTAATAGTGACACCAATACAGTGATCAGTGCTAATACTATAAAATAGAAAATGCAGCGCTAAAAGATAAATGAAAATAATAAAGTGACAGTGATATGTTGAAGCTCCTAAAAGGTGCTAACATATTGTGATTGAAAGTGCCGTCAATCTCTGACAAAAGATTCAGTGAATGGATATGAATCACATTGCTGACAAGAGATAAGGTGAATGGATGATAATCACAGTGTCATATATAACAGTAATAATGGCAATGAGTATCTAGTCCATAAAGAAGATTCATCAATAGATGGTGCTCGTGACTTCCGTGATAGGGAATAAATGTGCTTGCACTCACCGGAAGCGCAAATAAATTGCACATGTATAATTATCCAAATTGGTATTGGTCGTCATCAGGATGCTGGCAGGGGTAGAGGGCTCCAATGGTACACTCAGCACACAAGGAAGACACTTCAGACCTCACAGTATGGACCCAGTACTCACATTCTACTGACAGCTATGGGATTTATTGTTGCTGAGTGTTGCCACTGAACTGATGCCTTTACTGGCATACATATTGTGATTTGCTGAGTGTTTCCTTTGAACTGATTCCTTTACTGGCATACATATTGTGATTTGCTGAGTGTTGCCTTTGAACTAATTCCTTTACTGGCATACACATTGTGATTTGCTGAGTGTTGCCTTTGAATTGATTCCTTTACTGGCATACACATTGTGATTTGCTGAGTGTTGCCTTTGACTGATTCCTTTACTGGCATACATATTGTGATTTGCTGAGTGTTGCCTTTGACTGATTCCTTTACTGGCATACATATTGTGATTTGCTGAGTGTTGCCTTTGAATTGATTCCTTTATTGGCATACATATTGTGATTTGCTGAGTGTTGCCTTTGACTGATTCCTTTACTGGCATGCAAGTTTTTGATTTACAGTAATTCAGATTATTACAGCGGACTTTGGATTTATCTTGGTCACTATACTGACAATTCAGATCATTGATTTTGAGAAACCAGATCACCGAGCTGTATTTCTGAATCTGTTATTATCCTATTGAGCTGCACTTTATATTAAATATACTACAATATCCTAGCACTTTTGTTTGGTGGCCTTCTTTTTGAGCCATCCAAGGTGGATTTTTATCGATTTGGCTGATCCGGGTGAGAGTGCATAGGAGGAGCTGTCCCCGCATGCTGAGAGGGTCCATACCGTGAGGTCTGAAGTGTCTTCCTTGTGTGCTGATGCAATATGATTCATATCCATTCACTGAATCTTTCGGCAGAGATTGACAACACTTTCAATCACAATATTTTAGCACCTTTTAGGTGCTTCAACTTATCACTCTGTCACTTTATTATTTTCATTTATCTTTTAGCGCTGAATTTTCTATTTTATGTTATATTGAGGATCAAGGGGTTTTATCCTTATGCAAGCTGCTGATACATAGAGAGCACTCGCTTTATACCTATTTTTAGAGTGCTAATACTATACACTGACACTGTACTAATGACACTGGCTGGGAAGGGGATAACATCTAGGGCGAACAGGGGGTTAACTG